GCATCATGGGCCTGGATGACTCCGTGACGGAGAACGAGGTGGCGGCCGCTGTCGCAAGGACGGGAGGGTGCCCTGCTGATCAGGTGAAGGCAGGCACCATCCGCCCGGACAATACGGGGCTGCGGACCGTGGTAGTGAGCTGCCCCGTCACAGCGGCCAAAAAACTGTCGGAGGGCAAAAGGCTCCTGGTGGGCTGGGTTTCGGCGCAGGTGAAGCTGCTGGAACCCCGACCTTTGAGGTGCTTCCGCTGCCACATTGGTCACCATGTGGGTGCCAAATGCACCTCAGAGGTGGACCGCAGCGACCGCTGCTTCCGCTGCGGTCAGCCCGGTCACAGGGCCGGCGCTTGTACCGCCCCACCGCACTGCGTAGTATGTGCGGCGGCTGGCAAGCCGGCCGATCACCGGGCTGGGGGCAAAACCTGCTCCCCCCCCACCAAGCCCAGGAGCAAAGGTAGGCCCTTAGCCACCTCCACCGCTCCCACCGTCGCTCCCGCTGCCGCCGCAGTCGCCAACACCCCTGCGACTGCTGCTGTCGCCGCTGCCGTCAGAGAGGAGGTCGTGATGGATACCCAATAATGGCTCCATTACGCCTCCTCCAGGCGAACATCAACCACTGCGTCGCTGCTCAGGATCTCCTGCTCCAGAGCATGGCGCAGTGGTCGATCAATGTTGCTGTGGTCTCCGAGCCGTACTTCGTTCCAGCCAGGGAACACTGGGTGCCAGACCTGGACGGCTCGGTGACCATCATCTCGTCGGCCGCCGCCGGTACCCCAACCCCCGAAGGGCCTCAGCGAGGCAGGGGTTGCGTCGCGGCTCGGTTCGGAGAGATCGCCGTGGTGGGCGTGTACTTCTCTCCGAACCGAACTCTCGTCGAGTTCCACAACTCCCTCAGGGAGTTAGTCACCGTCGTCGTCGGGTTCCGTCCCCTCCCCGTGTTGGTCCTCGGGGACTTCAATGCCAAGAATTTGGCTTGGGGTTCCCGGCTCACTGATGTCCGGGGAAGGATGGTCGAAGACTGGGCTCTGGAGACAGGCCTAGTCGTGCTGAACCGGGGTTCTGTCCCCACGTGCGTACGGATGCGGGGCGAGTCAGTGGTGGACATTTCGTTTGCTAGCCCCGCTCTGTCATCGCGCGTTGTTGACTGGCGCGTCATGGAGGAGGTGGAGACGTTTTCGGACCACCGGTATATACGGTTCGACGTCTCCGCCGAGTCCGCAGACCCGCCAGTCAGACGGGCCCCGTGTGGCCCGCGTTGGGCGCTTAGGCAACTGGACCGGGAGCTTTTCCTGGAAGCCGCAGTCGTGCAGGCCTGGGTGATACCACCGGTCAGGCCAGCCGACATTAACGAGGAGGCGAGATGGCTCCAGGACGCCATGTCAAGGATGTGCGACGTGGCGATGCCCCGGATCCGACCGTGCCAACGCAAGCGCCAGGTGTATTGGTGGTCGCAGGAATTGGCAGACCTGCGCGGTGAGTGCACCGCAGCGCGACGCCGATACACCAGGCACCGCAGGCTCCGTCTCCGCCCTCTGGACGCTGAAACCAGAAAGGCGGAGCTATACGAGGAGTACAGGGCGGCGAAGGCCACCCTCAGGGTGGAGATCCGGCGGGCCAAAGATCGGGCCCGCGAGGAGATGTTGGAGACTCTGAACAGAGACCCGTGGGGACGCCCCTACCGGATGGTGCGTGATAAGCTCCGCACCTGGGCGCCCCCACTGACTCAGAGTCTCCGGCCGGAGGTCGTGGACGAAGTGGTTGGGGCGCTATTCCCCCGACCACAGATGGGTTACACGCCTCCGGCTATGCCCCCGCCCCCTGCGGTGCCCAATGCGGGCTACATCGACGACGACGACGAATCCGCTCCGGAAGTGACCGAGGTAGATTTGAGAGTGGCGGTGCGCCGGCTGAGCGGCAAGAATACCGCCCCAGGACCTGACGGGCTGCATGCCAAGGTCTGGGTCCTGGCCTCGGAGGCTCTCAGGCCTCGACTACTTGGTCTGTTCAGCGCATGTTTGGAGAGAGGCCAGTTTCCGCTGTCGTGGAAGACGGGTAAACTGGTCCTCGTGAAGAAGCCGGGGCGTCCTGCGGACTCCCCGTCCGCGTACCGGCCCATTGTGCTGCTCGACGAGGTGGGAAAGCTGTTCGAGAGGATAATCTCAGACCGCCTCGTCGGGCACCTGTATGGAAGGGGGCCGGATTTAGCGGACGGCCAGTTCGGCTTCCGCAGAGGGCGCTCCACGGTGGACGCCATCATGCGCGTGAGGGACCTCACGACGGGGACAGCGTTGGCCGGGAGGCGAGTCGTCGTGGCGGTGTCTCTGGACATCGCCAACGCCTTTAACTCGTTGCCCTGGAGCTGCATTTTGGAGGCACTCCGGTATCACCGGGTGCCTGCCTATCTCCGTCGTGTAGTCGAGGCTTACTTGACGGACAGATGCGTCATCTACCCCGGTCACCGGGGCGTGTGGAATCGGCGAGAGGTGTCGCGCGGTGTCCCACAGGGATCGGTCCTGGGACCTCTCCTGTGGAACATCGGGTACGATTGGGTGCTACGCACCGACCTCCCGAGCGGCGTCAGCATTGTCTGTTATGCTGACGACACGCTGGTGCTGGCGAACGGGAGGTCGCATCAGGCGGCGGCCGACCTGATGTCACAAGCGGTTGCGACAGTCGTTGCAAGGATCCGGCAGTTGGGACTCGAGGTGGCGCTCCACAAGTCCGAGGCCATGTGCTTCTATGGCCGTCGGAGCGCGCCACCTCCAGGTGGGTCCCAAATAACGGCAGGAGGAGTTACCATCGGCGTCGAGTCGGCGATGAAGTACCTGGGTCTCGTCCTCGACAGCCGATGGAACTTCACGGAGCATTTTCGTCGTTTGGCCCCTAAGCTAGAACGGTCTGGGGCCGCGCTCAAGCGGCTCCTTCCCAACCTCGGGGGGCCAAACGCCTCCTGCCGGAGGTTGTATATGGGGATTGTGCGATCCATGGCCCTCTACGGTGCCCCTGTGTGGGCGCCGGCCTTGAAGCGGCGGCCGGCTCGTACGCTGGTCGCGTCCCAGAGGGTCATGGCTATTCGAGTAATCCGCGGGTATCGCACGATCTCCGGGGAGGCGGCGAACCTCCTTGCCGGATCACCGCCGTGGGATCTAGAAGCGAAGGCGCTCGCGCGTGTCTACAGTTTGCGCGCAGACGCGCGTCGCCGGGGCGAAGATCCTCTGCCGCGCCAAATTAGTGCGTGGCGGAATGAGCTCCGGCGAGATCTCATGGCAGAGTGGAAACAACGACTGTCGCAACCGAGGGCCGGGCACGCTACCATAGCAGCGGTAAGACCCCTCTTTGAGGAGTGGCTTGAGAGACGCCACGGCGTCCTCACCTTCCGCCTGACGCAGGTGCTTACCGGGCACGGCAGCTTCGGTAGGTTCCTGTTTCGGATTCAGCGGGAGGAAACGCCCGAGTGTCGTCATTGTAAGGACCACCTAGAGGATACGGTGGAGCATACGGTAGCGGTATGCCCTGCCTGGGCTGAGCACCGCCGTATCCTCAGGGAAGTGATCGGCGGCGGCGACCTCTCGCGCCCGGCCTTAGTCGAGGCCATGGTGCGGAGTGAGAGGAACTGGGACGCCGTCTCCTCCTTTTGTGAAGCAGTCATGCTCGCAAAGAGAGAGGCGGCCCGCGTGAGGGAACAATCCTCCTCCTCACGCCCCAGCAGCCGCAACTGGCGACACTACGGGCGTCGGGGATCGAGGGACGATCTCCGGCCACCGTAAGTACGGGCCTGCGGTCGGCGAGTAAGGGCAGCTCGCCGCCCGACCAGAACCAGGCCCGAGCGTACGGCGCGTAGCGTTCCGCGCGCGCCTCAAAGAGCCAATAGACCACCACAGACGGGGCCCTAAAGGGCTGATGTTCAGCCGGGGTTGCGGGGTAAGCGCAATAAGGTACCGCGACCTCGGCACAGAGCAGGAGAAGGAACAGGGGGGTTTTTAGTCAGTAAGAGTCTGACACTCCCTCCTGCCCGGCCCTGGGCGGGAGAAGTCATTTGATGATTTTCCCCTCACAAAAAAAAAAAAAAAAAAACGGTGCTTGGCTCCATTTAATCATATCGTGTAGTTTTATAGCCTATAGCACTCAGGAATGTTGTATCTATCTATAAGTGAAAGAATTTTGGCAATCCGACCAGCCTTTCCAAAGATTACCCCCTACATAAAAACTTACAAATTTTACCTCTTTATAATATTACTATAGATTTGCTTTGTTAGCAAACCGCCACGGGGTTGTTTTTCTAAATTTTCCTCTCTACTTTTTTGTATAAGAACCTTCTCCTGACGGATTTGGTTGAAATTTGGTTTGTACAATACCGTCAACGTATCTTGGCGAGTCTGAAGTTAGCCGATTAGCTGCGCAGTACACCATTTTGTTCCTAAAAGATCCATTGCGCAGACAAGCGGCTAACTTCAGACTCGCCAAGATACGTCGGCTGTACTGTATATAGGTGATAGGTATACTAGATTAAAGTAGTCTATGTGTTACCTAGGCTACGTTTTGTACACCACGCGGGCGAAACTGTGCGCGAAAGCTAGTACATAATACATAATGATTACACAAAATATATAGATAATACTAACAAAGAGTCATCACTTTTAGCAGTTTAGTCAAAATGATGAATTGTTAAAATTGCAACGTTTTTTTTTTTAAATTTCACACTTCATTGTGCCAAATCTCGTTCCGGCTGAACGGCGGCACACTGACAGATATTTATTTTCGAATTTTAAATACAGAATTTCATTTCACGATAAAGGAAACGCGTGTTTCACGAACATCTTTTTTGGCAAAAACCACGAGAATTTCTTTTTGGCATGTCAAAATACAGAAAGAAAAAAAAGAAAACAAAATGTGATCTCATTAAATGCATTTATTTTTTGTTTGTTTACGGAATTCGGAACACGATATAGGTATGTACAGGAAGAATATAATAATGACCTGGACTTATAAAATGCCTGGCTTATTTTTTATGTTATATTTAAAAATGGAACAGTCAGAAATACAGATAAAGTGAGACTTTGTCCACAAAATGCTAATAAATATACCGCCATCTCTCTCCCTCTCACGGAAAAATCGCATATCTGCGTCTCATTCTTACATCAGTGCTCATCTAAGTGAGCATATTTTCGCCTCAACTTTTCTCTTTTATTTTTATTCGCGTGTTTCTTCTCTTGCTTCCAGGGTTTGCTCAGTTGAGTGTCCGCGGATTGCGCCCCGGCAATGCTGTAATAAAATATACCTTATTTCTTACGACATAAAACTCATAATTCGGAAAAATATTTATTGACTAACTTTTAGTGCTTTCGAAAGCAAAAAGGCAAAAAGAATTTATCATCATTAGTTGTTCAAAATAGGAACAAATTTTAGGCCCACGCCGATAGTGGGTTATCAGACACTATTAAAACTTGAATCGTGACTAAAATATTGGATACGACGCACATTAAACTACGCAAATTCGAAATAGGATAAAAAAGTAGTCAATTGTACGTATTGGTGTACACGGCTGAGTACCGTCATAAATACTGTCTAGTTAATTAAGCCGTCTGGTTAGTTCAAAGTATATGTCGTATGGTTGTTCCTTTTAGTTTAATTGGAGAAAGTACATGGTTTATATAGCTTGGAGAAGGCCTCGGGTCTTAGAGTTTAGACACCAATTTTCACGACGTTAGCACAGCTCGTAAAGATGCTCAAATTTTATGAATTAACACTTGGCTAGCATCCAGTGTAGCCATTTCGTCTTCACAAAGTTTATTTAGGTTTCCCTTAGCTCTAATTGATAATAACGCAGCGATATCTTTCATCTTGGCCAACTGTAACTGGGATATTTTTATATTGCACCTTACTGTTTGGAGGTCGGCACGTTCGTTGCAGGAGCCAATATTATAATTGTTGCCATGGCAACGTTACATTGAAATTCTTGTGTGATGTTTCATTTTGATTTGTGAGTTAACGCCTGTATTGATTTTAGCTTATCTATAGAAAGATGAGAATGTTAGCACATCATTATTCACAAGGCTGTCAATAAATAGAACGGAGAAATCTTTGGTATGTGTACTCTACACATATTATGTTTATCCTATATTTTAAGCGTAGAAAAATACTGACGCCAAATACTAGAGATAAAACCTTCAATATAATATATAAATTAGACTTCAAATTGGTCAAATTTTCCGAAGCACTCGTAAAAACAAGAAACGTAAAATCAATAGTATGAAAAATCGACTTGATTGATGTATAATCGATTTGATTAATCGATTATTCGATTTCAGCCTAAAACTCGCTAAAAGTATTCCAATAAGTACCTTAGAACACCATTTAAAAACACCAGGTACTATAGACAAATGCGACATAAAGACATTTATAACATTTAGTTTTTTTTCTAACTACTTGTACATCGACTACATAATATCTATAATTATATGCCAAATTTAAATATGGAACATGCGTTATCTTACCCGAATACTGGTTTGCCTTTAACGTGGGCAGCGCTTTTCTGCATCGCGAAGAAAGCTTTGTCAATCTCGTTGGATTTGTTCAGCCAGCCCTGTAAGGATATATCATATTAATAATTGGAAAGGGTAAGTAGTATTGTATCAGCCAGGGTTGACTGTGCAAGTGCAATAATACGCCGAAGGAATGGCGTGAGTTTTAATCAGTAAGAGTCTGACACTGCCTCTTGCCCCACCCAAGGCAGGAGAAGTAATATTGTACGAATTATTTGGAAAACCTAAAACAGAGAGGCTAGAATGTAGAATGTACAATAGCTTGTTTATAAAAAGTTTAGCCGAATGACAAGCGCGTTTGTCTATACTAATATTAGAAAGAGGTAAAATTTGTAAATTTGTATGTAGGGGGAAATCTTTGGAACCACTGGTCGGATTGCCAAAATCACGCTACAATACTTAATGGAAAATTACAAAACTTTTGCGTAGAAAATTGAGCATACATAGTTTTCGAAATGTCAAAAACGCTATAAGTACTCATTACAAGGAATTTTGAACGATAGCTAATCAGAGATTGTCTACTTAGAGTGTCGTTGTTTTAATAGAGATCCTTTAAAAGATTAGGGAAAACATTTTATTTTTTAAATTTATTTTTCACTGGGTCATTGCTCCATGAGCGAAATGCCTAGGTATATTGCCAGTTTGATCTATATGCGTTGAATTCCGTTGTATTGTTAATCATTTGCCAACACCTCGTAAAACGTCGGCTAATGTATGGGCGTGTAACAGTTTTTCAGTGAACCAGTTTAGAAAGAGTGAAAAATTTGGTAGTTTCCTACGACATAAATGAATTATTTTAACTTTTCATTATAATGAATTATTACAATACTAGCGATCCGCCACGGCTTCGCGTATGTATATTTTACACTAACACCCGGTTTCCGAAAGGCCGATCAATGTTAAAATTAATTTAATCTCTTGTCAAGTCATCTGATTGGTTGACTGAATTATCAACAACCAATCAGATGACTTGACAAGAAATTTGACACCTAGTAAGTTGATTTTAACATTGATCGGGCTTTCGGAAACTGGGCATAAGTTTGTTAAAATCCGTGTCTTAAAAGTTTTTAGAACTACTATTTAACCATATGGAACAGAGAAAGCGACTTAGTTTTGCCGAATTTCTTGATGTATAAATATTATGATGTCACTTCGGTCGATATTGTGATGCCATTTAAAAGTATCGTTTTTGACATTTCAATCAAAGTATTGAATTTGACTAGTTCGATACTACTGTAGTGAGGGCATTAGTAAGCCTAAACTGCTGCACAAACTTTGATAGATTTTGATGCAAAGATACATTGGATGCGCTATTCACCAAACTTATTTGGTAGGTAACCTACTAGTTCTTAAATTTGCACAGTTTTATTTTACATATCAACATGGGAATTCTCGGTACTTTTTTTATTATTTTCCTAATATTCAGTCTTCCTTGTCGATCGAGTAATCGCAAGAACGATCGCCTAGCAGATGTCGAGTTTCTGGGTACGATGTTTAAGTTTTTAAACGCACCCACAATGGAGAAGAAAAACCTAGCTAGGGGTAGGGCAATGTTTAATAAAAAAGAATGTGACTTAAGTACGGTATTCTTCTGCCTTTTTTACTACTAACCTCAACCATCCTCGCCTCACGAGGAGTAGGTTTCCTCTTTTCATTTTTCTTCCTCTCCTGTAGCATTTCGTCGAGTGGTTGAGGTTCACAGCCAGGCGGTAATTGCGCCCAACGTAGCCGTCCGCTGGCCGCTTCCTTTAGCATTATACGCGCTGAACGGGACTGGTCTGGCTGACCCGCTGCCGTCATGAAGCCTCTATTGACTGGATAAAACCATTCACATTTTTTTTTATATGTGACAGGTCGGACGTGTTATTACCTGATGTTAAGCAATCGGGCGGCGCCGTCTATGGACACTGGTAATACCATAGGAATTATTACAAGTGCTTTGCCGGCCTTTTGTGAGTATTTAAGGATACAAGAATTAGGGATTTAAGGATAGGATATTTGGGACTTGTGGATTGCCCCACCTCCCTCCCAATGATACAATCTCAAGGCAAAACACAACGTGAATGTTGTGGCCGAGGCATCAGTCCGGTTGAGCCAGCCCATTCGCGCCGAAGCATGGCTCTCCCACATTTATAATTTATCAAGAACATAGATAAGGCCTGCACAGTTATTTGATATATAGGTATGAAAATTAAGATTGATTCAGGACAGAGACAGTACCCATGGTTTAACAATATTTTTTTTTATACCCTGTCAACATTCCTAAAGACAGATTAAGTCCGCCTAAGTACCCATTGTTCATGAGGTTTTAATAAATAAATAATCTATATAAGTACTCACACGCATGGGCAGTAAGTATCTGCTTATAATCCGGTTCCTTTGTATCATCGTCAGGTAACAGGAGACCGTACTTCTCGGCGAACGTGTGTTTGCTGACCAACTGGCAGAGACGCGCCATTGCTGCGTCGTGGGCACGCATCTTAAAAGAGAAATAATATATTTATATTACAAATTGTTAGAAAAACTATGAAAAAACCGTATTTTATGGTGGCCCGTAGGTTAAGGAGCCCTCATGTATGTGGTTTGAAACTGGCAAATACCAATGTGACTTTTTCGATTTATATGTACTTTCTATGATTATTTAGATACCTCTGACAAATGTTGAATGAAAACTGAATAATGCTCAAATATACTTCGTGTGGGAGAAGGCCTTTGCTTAAAAATGTAAGTATGAAAGTCAAACTAAAAAAAAATAAAAAAATAATCTACCATAACAAATACTCACTTGATCAATTGGCAACACTGCCGTCAGTAATAGGTCTGGGGCGACGGCGTACGCTGGCAACACAAGACCGGGGCAGTCCAGTAGTTCGATATCGTCGTCTAATATTAACGACTGTATGTGTCTTGTGTGTCCGGGCATTGAACTTACACTGACCTGTGAAAAAAAAATCTTTTATCATGCAACCGCGTCGTGTAGCGACTTAGTTTACCTCAGGGTGTCGCAAGAGTCGTTCATAGGTCTAGATCTGAAAGTTCTATAGTGTGATTCGCAGATGTGTGGGTACCATCTATTGATAGGGCCAATGTCCAGCTGGTTGTTTTTTTGCGGGCAGATCATCAAGTAATTTCTCGCGCCTTGGGTGTGTCAAACTCTTACTGAACAAAAATCACCCCATTCCTTCTCCAGCGCCGAGTCTGGCCACGTACCCGGGCCGGGTAGTTATTGGTTGCAAGATTGAGATTATTGCTAACCCTTTAGTAATGGACGCTTAACAGAAAGTAAGATGGCACAGTATAGATCATTAACTGGACAACTGTTCGGAAGATTCGAATATTCAGTGGAATAATAAAAAATAAAGAGGAGTAAAGAGCAAACAAATACTACATATGGTTGAAGGCAATACGTATAACGAATTGTTGAAATGCAGGGTAACTCAGGAAATAAAATAAACAACAATGCAAATGGCACAACACCCTTCGAAGCAAACGACAAACATACTATTTAATGATTCTTACCTTTTTAGTCTGCATTAGAACATTGACAGAGCTAGACTTGCCGACATTAGGATACCCAATCATACCAACACTCAGTCTAGGAGGATTCTTTAACCTATCTACTTTCTGACTCTTCAGAACTTGTAGAAGTTTCTCCCTATCAAATATTTCATGTGAATTATTAACTTTTGACTCATTTTCTTCTATTTGTGTACTTTCATTATTTTCTGTGTTTTCTTTAGCAGGATAATCTTCTATAGGTTGGCCTAGTCTTAAATTTTCAACAACCCTGTCAAGTATTTCTTGTATCCTATCTATTCTATCCGCAGTAACATTCACAGCCTTGTCAAGATCCCCTAATTGCTTTTTAAACAATTCTATATCTTCTTCAGTGTGTTTCAAAGCCTCTTTTTCAATGGTATCTTCATCTAAGTTATGATCTTCTGTGTCTGATATTGCGGAATCTGTTTCTGAATCTGTTTCTTCAGGTATTGATTCCTCGCTTACTTCAGATATTTTACGTTCATTTGTTTCTTTAGCCGCCGAGAAGAATATTATTGAGACGTTCTGTAACAAATAGTGTTTTGGTATACATTTTGTTTATTATATTTTGTGAATGGTGTCGTGGTGGACCAGAAAATAAGGAGCCCGAATTTCATGCACGAGGACGCAAGTTCGAAGTACCTACCAAAGTGACTTATAATGTTATAAATAGTAAGTATCTTATTTTATTTAGGCACCACTGACCTACAATGAAGGAAAACATTGTGAGAAAGCCTGGACTTTTTCTAAATATAAATTTGAAATTACCACTCATCTTGTGCCATCTTGGTGATTAATACTTTTTTTATTATTATTATCACAAAATACAACTATTATTACAGGGCAACCTAATGCAATAGTGTATTGTCAATTTTATAGGTACCTACTTAATCTAAACTACTCAAACCTTCTCTGCCTAAAAAACTTAGGTCAGCAGTGGGCATGATGATAATATTTAGTTAATGCGATTCATATTTAAATTTCCACTGTTTAACCAATTATAGTATGCATAACAAATTGCACTGTAATTCTTTATAAAACATGTTGACTTTAATTTCTTTTAAATAGTATACTTGTACTCTGTTAAGAAAATATGTAAAATCATTAGCTGAATTGGTTTAATTTAAAGGATGCCCTAAATAGTACTTATAATATAGGAAATCCCAAATGTTTTTTGGGATGTAGGTATTTGATAATGAGTATAATAGCTTACTTCTTTAGTGAAGTATTCAGCCCAACATTTCCTTTCATATTCAGTAGTTAAATCTGCCTTGTTCAATAATAGAATACATTTGCACTTCTGTTCCTGAGCATATTTCTCTAAGTCAGCACATCTAGAATAGAAGTAAAATAATTAAATGCGTACATAACAACAATATGGTATATGGTTATGTGGAAATGGTTTTTCAAACATACAGACACTTAGAAAGAATAATTTTGGTATGATGAAGTTTGTGCAAGTGTGTGATGCTCGCGAAGGAGGCGGAGGAAAGAGAGGCTAGCTTCTCTGTCCCCTCCCGCAGCAGACGCACTAGATGTCGTAGAGTGGCCGACCTGCGGCCACCGTATGGCGCGGCCTGCGGACGACAGACTCGGGGCGTGCTTGTCGTCCGATCAGCAGTAGGCTTCGAGGCGACGCGCCATGTTCCGCGCGCGCCTCATAATTGTTGAATCCTGAGGTCGGGGTGACGGGCCCGCCTGACTATCTGGCGGGGCGAAACCCGTCAGGGAGTTGCAACGAATGCTTCGGAGATATCCACCCTTCCGACACATCGACACACAATCGAGGAACGGCAATGCACTTTTTATACCTCCTTTATCCACCATCTCGTGATGCATAGGCTGGTCGGCCGCCTCATTCCAAAAGAATAAAAACTTATTGTTGCCTTTCAAATAATTAAATCACAATGATTGTCGAATAAATTAAAATCATTTATTTATTTATTTATCACTACCAATAAACAAAAGGTCTTACCTGAACAACAAAGGATTCCTAGCATCCAAAAGGAGTAAAACTACATCCGACTTCTCCAAGGTCCTCCATAACTGCTTCCAAAGCTCCAAGTTCCTTTCGTAAGGAGTGACAGCTGCTCCGAGCGAGGCTTGCAGCTCGTTCAAGTGACGGCGCCATTCAAGAAAAACTTCACGTTCACGATTGAGCTGATCTTCTGCCGATATACCTGGGTGCCATGGAGGTCTGAAATATGTATTAATAACTTTATAATTCAATTTTTTTTACATGCTAACAAAAAAGCGATTATAGAAGTGTAAATCGCGAAATAAAAAATACAAGAAAATATGTATCATTATGACTGCACGGTTGGTGCGGTGACTGGGCAACTGGCTGCCGTGCAACGTGTCGCGGGTTCGATTCCCGCACGGAACAACTCTTTGTGTGATTCACAAATTGTTGTTCCGGGTCTGGGTTTTATGTGTATGTGAAATTGTATGTTTGTAACCGCACCCACAACACAGGAGAAAATCCAAATCTGGGGCAAAGTTTAAAAAAAAAAATGTTCCAAATGCTATGCAATATAGGATATTAAAACAAGAGCGAGGGTTAGTCATTCAAGGCGAAACAAGACATTAGCATCATGCAAGCACTTCAACACCTGAACTACATGCTGCTGCATACACCACTTCACCCTCACACTTATATTTGAAATAAAATTAAAGTATTGAGATTTAATTTTCTAATCCGATTCCAATCATAGTTTTCATCACTCTCTAGTCATAAACTAGCTAAGAGCTACTGCTGTTACTTTCCTTACTGCTTAGCTCCTATTGGTTCTTGTACAACTATGATGGTTATATGGGAGATAGTCTTCCTTTATAAATATATTAATATTAATAGACTATCTTACAAAGTCCTTAAATCCTTAATTCCTTGTGGGTGATCAAAGGCAGGTTTTGTTTGCTATTTGTGTGTACATATTATGTTATTAAAATCATATTTCCAGAGATTCTATCAAATAAACAAATTATTGAGTTTTACTAGTACAACTTGATAGACACTAATATACGTAGACTGTATGCTATTAACCAAAAGGTATCAATAGACCTTTTGTTGTATTTGTTTGACTGTTTGTCACATTAGGTATACCACAGCACTTACAAAACTATGTAATTATAATATATATACATTAGATGCTGTCGCGCGGTTTTATAGCCTATAGCACTCAGGCACATTGTAGCTATCTATCAGTGAAAGAATTTTGGAAATCCCACCAGCGGTTCCAAAGATTACCCCCTACATACAACCTTACAAACTTACAAATTTTACCTCTTTATAATATTAGTATAGACTAGAACTGTTACAGCCAAAGCCACAGGTAATAGCTACGAGTTTTATTTAAAAAGTATATAAAGCTTACCTCCTTGGTACAGTAAGAGGCTGGTCAAAGTTTGGTTGTGAAGTCGCCATTTCCACTTCACTTGGAAGAGTATTCACATATTTCAAGTTGAGTTTCTCCGCAGTAAACTCTCTCTGTGCCAACTCAGCAGTAGAAAGAAACTCTTGCAGAGAGGACTCGGCTGTGACAGATTGCAGGTTGAGACGACCCCAATCATAGCCATCATTGACTTCTGTTGTATGAAGCTGAAATTAGAAATTAATTAAATAAGACTAAAAAATAAGTTTTTATACAGAATCAAAAAATAAATACATTCCAAGATTCCAAGTTTGTTTCCCAATAAGAAAAAGCAATTGTAACAATATACCCACTTTTTTTTTCACACCCCAATTATTATATAATAGTATTAAAGTCGGAAAATTTTAATAACTTTTCGATATTACACCATATTGTGCAAGACTATAATTTTGAAAATAAAATAATCTGCCTGAAACATGTAATGTTTACAAGGTTCAAGGTTTAAAATATGTTTAAATTTCCCATTATTCGTTTCTATTTAAAAACAAAAATTAAGAATACACGTCAAGAATATATAAAATAAAAGCAATTAATCACAAACCAATAGTTTATATATGTACACAATTTGAAAAAATAATATGAAAACAAATACTAACCATGGTATTGTCCTCCACATGTTTTCGGTGACGATTCTTTGAAAATCGGTCTTTAATAAGAGCACGTCCTAAAGAATCTTTATTTTTCTTCCCCATTACAATTTGTTTATTATATTTTACGGTAAATTATAAGAAATAATCGGCATCCGAAAACGTGCGTGCTCAATTACGATTAATTTTCAGAAATGTCAAAATGACAGTATACAAAACACATGGTGTTGTTCGGGATGTGTTCGTCATGGAGTTGATTTTTCTATATAGTTTACATTGCACCTTTTTAAAAAATTAAATTTCAAACACACTTATTTCAATATTTTGTTTATTATCATAATTGGGTAATAATAATGTCTCCCAATTAGATAATTATTTTATAAATTACGTGAAAGCTTGTCCAAGCCTTAATTTGTAATATTTTCAAGTAATGCACAATTTAGTAGGAATTGTGACGTTATATCGTTATAAGTTTAACTTGTATACTTTATATTTCTGATTCCAGGTATTTGCAATAAAATTAGAATATTATGTAAAACTGAACGTCACTGTAAGCGAGCAATCAAAGACATGATAGACATTTGTTAATAGACAGCAAGTTTTCTCATCTCTCAATTTTTTTGCATTTTGGTTGGTAGCAGTCAAGCGAGCTATCGAGCGAGACTTCGATTTTCTTTGAGCACAAATTGAAAAAGTGAATTCTTAATTTATTATGACTGGTAAAAAATTTTTATTAAAGTGAAGGATAAAGTGACAAAGTCTTTTCAGAAAATGATGTCCCAATATTACGAGCCTTACCATCGCTGTGAGACACTTGCTGAATTTAATTTTTATTTTGGTGGTGATAATGAAGAAGATATGGATGATGACGATAATTATATTTATTGTTATTGCAGCAGAGTATATATAAAGTAAGTACTCATTTCTCTTATAAAAATACTAACAGACTGACTCGTGGTTATTTTTTTGCGTGCAGAAAAATGGAAGGAGTTTTTGATATACGAATTGGAGGGATGGACGTATAAAAATGTTGTTTTGCGTTATTGTAGCCCCAAGGTATACTAACTGACTTATTTGTTTCTTGATTTGTGGAAATTGCAATAATTTTTGCTTTAACTCCCAACATATTGAGACAATGCGTATCGTGAGGCCTTGAGCCAAAACATATTCAAAAATGAACACTTTTCGTGTTTAATTAAAAAAGTAAATTTTAGTCAATCCTAATATTTGTTAATATACAATACAATCATTAATATACGATCATTGCAAAATACTGCAACTTTTTTTTATTTGAACCTTATTTTAGTAGACTTGGAAACTTCAAAGAATAAATATTTTAATTACCTACATCAAAATTTTCTCACTTTTCTCATAACTACTATTTTATAATACTTCCTTTTTTGGTACAAATAGTTCTAGACATACAGCCTGTTGATTTAGTTATGTTATTTAAGAAAACAATAAAAGCAAAATACTGCTGCATAGTATTACCATAAATTTTTATTTTAAATTAAATTTGACAAGGGTGCACTTCTAATATGTTAAAATAACGTCTTGGTTTCAGAGATGGCCAGGACACATACTTTGTGGACAAGGAGTATGGAAGTGAAAGTGACATTGAAGTCCTACGGGACTCCCAGTCTCAAGATTTAGAGGACCACTCCCATGTGCATTTCTCTTTAGATGCTTCTTATAAAAATAAATGTGAGGTAAGTACTCTTTTTTACATATTATATTCTAAATAGGTAGCGCCTACCACTTCGTCTAGGTGATATTAAGTTTTGCGCAGCGCATTTGTTAAAATACAATAATTATAAAAAAATCAAAGGTACTGCACAACACAATATATAATATAGAATATTTTTTGTAATAAAAAACCTTCCCACTTTTTATTGATTTTGACTTTGTTCTACCTATTTCACTAATTAATTAAATTCCTTAAACCTCACAATATTATAATACGTAATAAGGTAATGTCTGCCATGTATTGTAATCTTTTACAGAGAGACGATGTTGCAAGCTGCTATTGCAGTGCATCCCATACTGAGAACTGCTGTTCAACAGATGAACATGATGCAGGGCACACTCATGGTACCATGTCCCATGCACTGCAGCCTAGTGACAGTGGTGCCGACCTTACATACCAAGACTATCATTTTGAAGCTCATGATAAACTTGAACGAATGGACGAAGACCTCCCAGATTCCCCAGAAAACTATTTAGCAGTTGATACTTGGGAAAAGTTTTGGGCCATTCACGGAGAAAGACTGATATGGGCTTCCTGGATTAAAAAGTATAGTGACTACATCAACCCAGCCTACTTGGACGAAAATAATGACTTAGTCCTAGATGAAAATAACATACCAAAGCAACGTTCAGTTGATCAGATTTATAAGAAACAGAGTGAAACTAATCACAAACTAGAAGACGAAGAAATGAGGGAAAGAAAGTTCTCGTATGATTCAAAAGTAAATCCGTACAAGAAGCGTAATTCTCAAAATCAATCTGATAAGGCTGAAAAAAATAATGAATTAAATAAAGATGAAGCTTGGTTACCTATAGCTAGGCGTCGATCATGTTCTGAACATGATAGAATTTTAAGTCCGAGAACTGTCGATGGTACGGACTCTATGACTAATGTTACCAGGCTGACTTTATCTAGTTACGATGTTACTTCCAGCCATATCACATCAGAATCCACACCCACTGACACTGACTACAGTGTATCATCATCCTCGTCTGATGACCCATCTAATGATCAGACAAGGATAGCAAACTTAGAAGAGAAGTACGAAAACACAGAAATACCAACCGATGAGTTAGATCCTGAGCAGTACTGGCAATATTTGTGGAAGAAACATTTCGGAGAACAGTACGCGTTGCATTACGCACACTACACAGAACACCACACAGCTCAAACTAAAGAGGTACCAGCTATACAGATCGAAGTAGTACCAGAGCCAGCGAAAATTGAAGAAAAGCTTTTGGAAATAGAATGCGAAAACAGTGAAGGAAATTCTCAAGAGACACCTACAGTTATTGAAATACAAAAGCAAACTGATCAGATCTCTTTAGAGGACAAACCTAAAGCTGAAAAAAAGAAAAAGAAGAATAATAATAATAAGAAGAAAGAAAGCGGAAGGTACATAACTTCTGTTGGTGTTTTGCTTCAGAATTTATTAAAGGAAGAACAGGCAAAGCAATATGACCTTACTGATGCAGCTGATAAAACAGAAAATACTAATGACACAGATAATACCCAAAAAGCTGAAATGGAAGTAGTTGATGGTACAAATGTTTCAAGTAATACTGTAAACATGAATAGCAATAATAACAATTCAAATTTGTATTCCTGCGATGGCGACGATGATCCACCGGAAGATACGCCTGTGGTTTTAAAACGAAGGTAAAATGTTTTGAATTTTGTCTGATTAATCTGGCCAGCACCATTCGTTCCGCCAAAATGAGGGTACAAAAAAAGTTTTTTTGGTACCCTCATTTTGGCTCACAGTTCAAACAATTATTATAATTTAAAAAATCGTAAATTCGTAATTGTGTCCATATTTGGAAATTAGCGCAATTTTAATGAGAAGAATATACTCTTATCTTTTTGCGCAGGGGCCTTAGTCTTAACGTGGTCTTTTAATCCCAATACAAAGAAGAATATTGGTATATCTAGTCTACTAGTGCTCTTATTATAAGCTTGTCATGTGTGTATCTTCAACAAAATAATATAATTATACCATTTATTTTACAGCCATGAACTTGATGACGAAGAAGATGTAGCTCAAGCTAAGATAAAGAGCACCATACAAATGATGGGATTCTGTGTGGACACTGACAAATTGCCTAAAGGCGAACTGATTTATAGGAAGCGGCCAGCCAAACTGCGCCCACCAAGGCTAAGGAAAAACATGGGCAATAAGAAAACTTATTTCGATGATGATGGCAATCCATGTCAGGTGAGTTGTGTTTTATTATTCTATTTTTTTCTTAATAAAATATTTCCCTACACTAGCATTTTCTCCTGTGTAGTGGGTGCGTTTACAAACATACAATTTCACTTATGCATCACACCCAGACCCGCAGCTCGCCGCCCGTGCGTACGGCGCGTAGCGTTCCACGCGCGCCTCAAAGAGCCAATAGACCACCACAGACGGGGCCCTAAAAAAAAGGCTGATGTTCAGCCGGGGTTGCGGGGTAAGCGCAATGAGGTACCGCGACCTCGGCCCAGAGCAGGAGAAGGAACGCGGGGGTTTTTAGTCAGTAAGAGTCTGATACATCCTCCCGCCCGGCCCTGAGAGAAAAAAAAAAATCACACCCAGACCCGGAACAACAATTTGTGAATCTTACAAAGATTTATTTCGTTCCGAACCCGCGACAAGTTGCACGGCAGCGGTTACCCAGCCACCACTGTAACTGTTCAGTTCTACGTTGGCCCTCAACTCGTAGTACTGAGCGATGTTTATACTTTAATAGTTCGCCCGCGCGATTTCGGCTTCTATTGTTCGAACTCATACGATGATGTTTTATTGTACTTATGCTTTCTGCCTTCTTCTATAAATAGACAAGAAAAATCAGTTTGAATAAGTGCTAAACGCGTTCAACCCTACAACTCTTTACTTAATTATAAACACCAAAAAGTTTAAATATGTAAGTATGTAGATTGGTGCGGTATTTATTCACTAAGACACCAGTATAAAGTGAATTTTATCGCTGCAAGCATAGTGGTTGATTCCCTTTCCTTTTCTGATAATATTTATATGTATTTATTTTAGGTAAAAGATTCCCCGGATGAGAGGGAAATGCAGACGGACGATGACTGCACTGAACTGAAATCTGGGGGAACGCCACGCCTCATGTCCAAAGACCCGAGCTTGGAAGACGACACGGCGAAATTGTCCGAAGCAGCGGCTGTTGCTTTACCTTGCGATGCCGACGACGATGACAAAGAACTGAAAACTGAAGGATCTCAACACAGTAATGGTAAGATTTTAACATCAGACATTTTATATGCCGCATAGGGCTATATATATGTCATGTCAATATTAAAAAAACGTATCCACAATTATGAGTTAGTAATAAAAATAATAAGTACATTATTTTATTACACCAGCAGGCCGCCCCGATTTTGTCCCGGCGCCATTTCCCGAAGATAACTCTCGCATGCCAGCGGAGCTTAGAGACGACCCGAGAATGCATAAATACTGGGAGAAAAGGCACTCCCTCTTCCACAGGTGAATTAAATGAAACGTTAAATAAAATGAAATGAAAATCAAGTTGGTTGTTGGTAAGGTCTTATTTGAAAATCAAGTTGATTTTCAAATAAGACCTTTTCTTGATGGCGAAGTGTACTTAACAAAGTTCTGTTTCCTGGCCAACAGGTTCGACGAAGGCATCAAGTTGGACCGCGAGAGCTGGTTCAGCGTGACCCCGGAGAACGTGGCGAGCCACATAGCGAACAAGTTCCGCTATGATGTTGTCTTGGACGCGTTCTGCGGTGCCGGCGGCAACACTATACAGTTCGCACGAACGTCCAACAAAGGTGACACTTTTCTTCGATGCCTACTGTTTCCCACCAGAAACCAGTAGTTGAATGTTATTTCGTGTTATTTCTTGCGTTGTTCTCTCTAATGTCTGGTTTTGTTCAACAGTAATCGCGGTCGACATCGACCCATTGAAGATTGAAATGGCGAAACAAAACGCCAAAGTTTATGGGGTTCTGGATAAAATTCAGTTCATTGTCGGCGATTTCTTTGAGTTAGCATCCCAACTGAAGGCCGACATGGTCTTCCTTAGTCCGCCGTGGGGAGGTCCATCGTATTCCAAAGTAAGTTGCCACCTGTCCATTCTCATATTGATTGCATACAATAAGATTTTGTGATGCCATATTGGTAGAACACAATCGTTAGACCTATATATCCTTATCCTTCACACCCAGCTAGCAACAGAAATCAATAACAAAACTTTCAACTAAGATGTGCATCAAACTGCACTTTTGACAAATTCAATACAACTAATGTCAAGCGTCAATCTTAATCCAGGGATTTTGGATGGAGATTGTTATACGCGACTAAGTTCTTGTGCAATTTTTTTTTTATGTAATGGAACGGCAAACGAGCATACGGATTACCTGATGGTAAGCAATCAGCGCCGCCCATGGACACCCGCAACGGAGGAGTTACGAGGAGTGCGTTACCGAATTCTTAAGGATTAGGGTTTTAGAGATTAAGGGATTGGGGAGGGAAAGGGGCAGGGGAAGGATTGGGCCTCCGGTAACCTCACTCACACGGCGAAACACAACACTGTAGTTGTTTCACGCCGGTTTTCTGTGAGGCCGTGGTATCACTCCGGTCGAGCCGACCCATTCGTGCCGAAGCATGACTCTCCCTCACTTACTGCTATGTATCGTTCTTCTAATATTGTTAGCTGTTTGTTTTATTAATTCAATGTTTTGTCCACAGCACAAAGAATTTGACATTGAAACTATGCTTGAACCAAGGCCAGCTTCGGAGCTGATGAGAGTGGCACGAACAATATCACCAAATGTGGAACTGTATATTCCTAGAAACTCTCGGCCCGACCAGGTATGATATCGCACCATATTCTGTTTTTGTTTAATCCGCCATAATAATTATGTACATTGCAAAACACAGGCCTTACCTAGCATACTCTTTTTTTGTTATGGTATAGGTTGGTCAAAGAGCAGACGAATTACCTGATGGTAAGCAATCGGCGCCGCCCACAGACAACCGCAACACCAAAGGAGTTACGAGTGCGTTGTCTGCCTTTTAGAGATATAGGTTTCAGATATTTAAGGATTGGGAAGGGATGGAGGAGGGAGAGAAATCTTTTGATTATTTTTAAATAACTTTCTTTGTTACAGATAATATCTCTTGCGAAAGATGTGGGAAGTTCTGTTGAAATAGAGCAGAGCTTCCTCGACAGGCGTTTTGTAGCCATAACGGCGTATTTTTTCTAAATACATACTAGTGTTGTGACTGTTATCTTTAAGTATTATGTACCTATATGTATTGTTACATACTGCGACACGTTAAGAGCGTTTACATGGCATGGAATGGGTTTTCATAGAAACTTTCAAGTAAAACCAATATATATAAAGGTCTAAAATATTAAGTAGGTATATTTTACAAAGTAGTTTAGTCTGATTCAGAATCGACTCTTTTGCACCTACCTTCTGCTCTAACAGTAGCCTGGCCACTGTTATTCTTTGATTTGATTCCCTCAAAAGACCTCCTTCCTGTACCTGTGTTAAATTATGAATTTGCATTCATATTTGAGATTGTATATTTGGGTACACAATGGAGCTAAATGAAAGCCCAGTAACTAATATAAATCTATATTCACAAAAATGATGTTAACAATAGGACGGATGTCGAGAGAGTGAATTGCAAAGCCTTGACAATTTCAACTGGCCGCGCGACGCCTGATTATAATAATGGCAATTACACGTAGATTTGCCGTTTGTTATCGTAAAGGCGTTAGGCGCCGTAACATCATCCCGCCTGTTGAAAGCATCCTTTCAACACTCCTGAAGTTCCTCAGCGTTGGGCAGAGGACAGAGACGAGTTAGTGACCGCCGAACGCAGCCTTTCACTGTGTGAACATCTGCAACCCTTGATATTCCGTCTGGTCCAGGAATCAGCCGCAGAACTCGACCCAGTCGCCAGCACAGTGGCGGCGTGTTGTCTTCGGATATGAGGACCATGTCCCCTATGTTTAGCCGGCCAGTATCGCTCTTCCATTTAGTTCTCTGCTGTAGTTCCGATATGTATTCCTTTTGCCATCTTCTCCAAAAGTGTTGCCTGATGTTTTCAAGATGCTCATACCGCTTCCTCGGATTGTCATGGCAATCAGCCAGATCAGATGATGGCAGTGCCGTCAGTGGTCTTCCAATAATAAAGTGCCCTGGAGAAAGGGAGAGGAGGTCATTAGGAGAGGACGATAAGGGACACAAAGGACGACTGTTAAGAATAGCCTCCACTTGTGCAAATAATGTTGAAATCTCTTCGAATGTTAAATGACTATTGCCCATCACTCGTCTCAAGTGATGCTTAGAGGACTTTACTCCGGCTTCCCAAATGCCGCCGAAATGAGGAGCGTAAGTTGGTATGAATTTAAATTTGATACCTTGCTGACTTGCAAAATCAAATAGGGAATCCTTGTTTTGTTGTATAAAACTCCCCACTACCTTAGCAGCGGCTACGAAATTGCGGCCATTGTCGCTGAATATTTCCAATGGTTTACCCCTGCGCGCGATTAATCGCCTGAGAGTCATGATAAACGCGTCTTTAGTTAAGTCGCTGACTGCTTCTAGATGCACGCATTTAAATCGTAAACACACGAAGATACATAGATAGCATTTGATCAAACGGCTTCCACGGCCCTTGCGATTTAGGATAAAAAATGGGCCAGCGAAGTCTAGACCAACAGATAAGAACGGGAAGTCCGGATTGACCCGTTGTGACGGCAAGTTACCCATTTTTGGGCACAAAGTTTTGCCTCTTAACCGTCTACAACGCACACACTTGTTTACCGTGCGTCTCGCTAAAAGTCTGCCACCAACTGGCCATACCATTTCTCTTACTGTCGCTAGTAGCAACTGGGGACCGGCATGCATGGAGTTGATGTGCTCCTTTTCAAAGTATAATTTTGTAAGCCTATGCTTAGCATGCAACAATATAGGATGTTTCTTATCATACGAATAGATGGAGGCATCTAGGCGACCACCTACACGCATTACATTATCTTGAAGGAAGGGAGAAAGAGACAAAAGTTTGCATTTACTTGGTAATGATTTACCTTTTGATAATAGATCATATTCCTTACTGAATGACTCACGTTGAGCCAGTATACAGAGTGAGTAGAAGGAATTACGCAACTCATCCACGGATAATGCACCTAGGAGTTTCTCTTTAGGATTTTTTAAATTGTTTATAAATCTTTTAACGAATGCTAATATTCTTTGTAGTTTTGTAAACGACGAATACCTTTCGAAACTTATTGCAGGTTCATCCATTACTATCGTGAGTAATCTTGTTTCAGGTAAGTTACTTAACTTATTAACATTTAAAATAGGCCACTCTGATTCATCTTTCATTAGAAATGTTGGACCAGACCACCACAGATTCATGTTCGGTAAGTTTTTAGGACCAACACCCCTAGATATCAAATCAGCTGGGTTAGCATCAGTAGGAACATACCGCCAGGAAGATGTACCAGTCATGTCCACAATTTCACTGGTGCGATTAGCTACGAATGTTTTTAATTTACTTAAATCACTATTAATCCAACCTATAACTACACTAGAATCACACCAGTTTATTACCCTAACTGGTTTCCATCGTAAAGCCTCCAACACAGACTTGCAAAGTTTAGCTGCAAGTAGAGCGGCACACAATTCCAGACGTGGGATCGTGGTTGGCTTTATCGGTGACACTTTAGATTTAGCACACAGCAGTTTGACACTACATTGGTTATTACTATCGAATGATTTTACATAAATACATGCTCCATAAGCAGACTGAGATGCATCGCTAAACGAATGCAATTCTACCTTGGTTGATTCGTCTAACAGAACCCATCTAGGAATGGTTAAGTCGGACACACAATGCAAATTTGATGTAAAATTACACCAATCTTCCTTTATTTCATCAGGAACTGGTTGATCCCAATCTAGCTTAAGTCGCCAGATATCTTGTAATATGATTTTGGGCTTTATTACAACCGGGCTCAAAAGACCTAAAGGATCAAAAATTTTAAACGTATCAGACATAATTGAGCGTTTTGTTACGTTAACTGACTTATTATCTGAAGATGCATACTTTATTGGAAAAAATATTGTATCACTCGAGGGTGTCCACCCAAGACCAAGAGTGCTGGAAGATTCACTAATCGTTAAGCTATCACGTGTTTCTGTTTCAAGATTATCAAATATTGAAGAGCAATTACTTTTGTACTTTCTTAAATTAAAACAATTATTTTTAAGTGCTTTAGCAACGGAGACTTGAATATACCGCAACTGCTGCTCATTGTTGGCTCCTGTTATAAGGTCGTCAACATAAAAATCCCTTTGAATTACATCTTTGATTAGGGGATCACTTTGATCTTCACCCACCTGCCATAGACAGCGAGTGCTGAGGAAGCTAGCACTTGCCGTGCCGTACGTTACGGTATTTAACGTGAATTCTTTGACGGGTTGCGACTCATCATCCCGCCATAAGATGCGCTGTAAGTTGCGATCTCTTTCGTCTACTAGAATCTGTCGGTACATTTTTTCAATGTCTCCAGTGAGAAGAAATTTGTATTGACGAGCGCGTATCAAAATGGCAAAAAGAGAATCTTGAATAGTTGGACCTGCTAATAAAATGTCATTTAAAGCATACCCAGATGATGAGGGCGCCGAGCCGTCAAACACTACACGCAGCTTAGTAGATTCACTATCATGTTTATAGACAGCGTGGTGGCATAAATAATAAACTGTACCTTGTGTATTCGCTGCGGGGGAGAGATGCCCCAATTGGGCATACTCATGGATGAAATTTGTATATTCCCCTTTCAGCAAAGGTTTACTTCTAAATCTTCTTTCCAAATAGATGAGACGTTTTTTAGCTAATTTAAATGTATCCCCTAGACAGTCACTATTATCTATTAAGGGTAGTCTAACTACGAATCTACCTGATTCGGTTTTGTACGTATTTTTAATGAAATGATTTTCACAAGCCTTATCCTTCTCACTCACAATTCTTTTAGCTGGCAGTTCTTCTAACTCCCAGAATTTGGCGAGGTCGATATCAAGACTATTATCTTTAGCGGCGTCAACCATAGCATGATTGCAGCTGATTTGTTTATTAGTATAATTTGAATTAATTGGACCTGAGATTATCCAGCCTAATTGAGTATTTCTTAAGTTAGGATAGTTAGGGCCAAGTGACACTTGTTCATTGCCCAAGATTTCCCAAAACCAATCAGCTCCAATGAGAATATCAATAGAAGCTGGTTCAAAAAATTTTGGATCTGCTAATAATATATTATTAGGCCAATTTAGATTTTTTATATTGACCGGATACTTTGGTAGATTACCAGTCAGTTCATTTAGTACAAGGCAACCTATATTTGCAATGTATTTGCTATTTAATGATTTAATCTGTATGTTACAACTTTCCGTTATGCTAGCAGAAATGTTATTGCCGATCCCTATGACCTTTAGTAAATCAATGGGGGTCGAATTTAGAGCAATTTTTTCCTTTAATGATTTTGAAATGAATGAAGACTGGCTGCCGCAATCTAGCAAAGCACGAGCCTTTTCACTTTGTTGTGTTACTGGATTAATTACTTCAATGATAGCTGTAGAAAGCAATATTTGTTTACTGAAATTAACGTATGAATTATTTTGTTTACTGAAATTAACGTATGATTCATCAGGATCCTCTACTGATATGCAATTATTTACAGAGGTATTTGGACGATGAAGTAAACTATTATGACGTTTTTTGCAATTGCGACAGGGTCCCATACGGCATTCGCTAGCCGGATGACCTTGCCTGAGACAATTGTTACAAAGTTTGTATTTATTTACCTCACTTAGCCTGCTGTCGACATCCATTGCCTTAAATGTAGGGCAATCATAAATTTTGTGGTTTTCGTTGCAAATAATACACGAGAGTATGTTTGATTTACTAGGTTTTGTATTACAACTGGCAAAGGTTTTCGTAACATTGCTTGATTGCTTATGATTATTATTGGGGTTAAAATTATTGCGTGTATTATGCATTATCCTAGACGGCGCGGTATCATTTTTGTTTCGATTTATTGATTCCAACACATCCGCTCGATCAGTTAGGAATTTGAAGAAATTATCTAATGTGGGTACATCGGATTCTAAAGTATTACGGAATTCTTCCCATTTAGTTAAAGTGTTACTATCTAATTTCGAACATAAAATAAAGATAAGTAAAATATCCCATTTATCTGTTGGTTGTCCTAAGCTGGTTAATGCTCGCAAATGTTTAGTGACATGATCTATTAAAAATCTTAATGATCGTTCCGATTCACGTGGAAGCTGCTTAACGCTAAGTAATGCATTTAAATGTTGGTTAATTAATATTCGTTTGTTGTTGTACCGATTGCAAACTAATTTCCAGGCTTCGTTATAATTCGCGGAAGACACCTCTAAATTAGAAATGAGTCTACCCGCATCACCTTCCAGATATGAATTTAAATAATGAAACTTATTAATGTCTGAA